GATGAGGATTGTACTGGGCTAATCAGGACAAGCAGGGTGGACTAAAGCCCCATTTGAAATCTCAAGACAAGCAGCACGAAACACCTAGAGGTTAGTATGTTTTACACATACCACAGTGTAATTAGTAAGCTTCAACACTAAATGGCAAGGAAAATTTAATGGAGAAAGAGGAAGACTTTGATGTGGCAGTAATTGATTACAATATTTAATTCCATTAAAGGATTGCAAAAGAGTTTAAGGCTTAACAGCATAATGGACATGGATCATGAGTGATTTCGATAGCACCTCGATGATATTGATCTGAAATTGCTGTATTCACATGTTCCAGATAATAATGGATCCAGAAATATTAAAACAGAACTTGAATCATGTTGTGTATTTTATCCACATCAAATACCAATCTCTGTTCTATAACTATGTGGCTATCCCAGATATATCTGAAATTAGTAACATTCAATGTTACAGATAGAATAAAACCATATTTTTAACAATGTTTAAAATATCCAGGTGACAGACCTTCAAATACCTGGTCTTTATAAAAACTGACTTTTGATTCGGCCCTATGTCAATTGTCAATTCAACACATTGTCAATTCGTTTCGGATTTTCACGCAATATTATTGAATCTCTTAAATAATCTCTTACCTAATAGCTGTATTATCGTGCATGTCTTCAGGCAAAATCTCCACCTTTTTCATAATTAAAATTTAAAAAAAATGTATTCCCATAGTTATAGAGGTTTTTTTTCATCACAACGATGAAAACGTGATTATAATTGATTTTCATTTTAATTTCTAAAACACTTCAAAGGAGTGTTCAGAAACAATAGACTATAATGTACATTATAAAATACATTAAGACTGTTCATAATCTCAAAACTGAAATAATGTCCTCCACCATGACTTGCTTTTAAAAATTACACCAAAGCAGAGTTTACATTTTATTTAAATTATGCCAAAGGAAAGTTTACATTTTTTAAGGAGCGAAAGTGTAGTTCAGAGAGTCGGTCTGTAATGATAATTGAAATCACTATATATTTTCAAATAGGATCTCTATAATATTAAGTTAAATCTGTAATGATAATTGAAATCACTATATATTTTCAAATAGGATCTCTATAATATTAAGTTAGGTAACGACAATTGAAATCACTAAATATTATGAAATAGAATCTATCTAATATAATGTTATGTTATGGCAATTGAAATCACTATTGTCAAATAGAATCTCTCTAATATAAAGCTAGGTAATGACAATTGAAATCACTATGTATTGAATCTCTCTATTATAAAGTCAGATTGTCAAATAGAATCTCTCTATAAATAGAATCTCTCTATAAATAGAATCTCTCTAATATAAAGTTAGGTAATGATAACTGAAATCACTATATATTGTCAAGTAGAATCTCTTCTCTCTATTTTAAAGCTAGATTGTCAAATAGAATCTCTCTATAAATAGAATCTCTCTAATATAAAGTTAGGTAATGATAACTGAAATCACTATATATTGTCAAGTAGAATCTCTTCTCTCTATTTTAAAGCTAGATTGTCAAATAGAATCTCTCTATAAATAGAATCTCTCTATTATAAAATCGGATTGTCAAATAGAACCCACCTATAAATAGAATCTCTCTATTATAAAGTTAGGTAATGATTATTGAAAATACTATAGATAGTCAAATAGAATCTCTCTATTATAAAGTTAGGTAATGATAATAGAAATCACTATATATTGTCAAATAGAATCTCTCTATTATAAAGTCAGATTGTCAAAAAGAATCTCTCTATAAATAGAATCTCTCTATTATAAAGTGAGGGAATGATAATTGATATCTCTATACATATTGTCAAATATAGAATCTCTGTAATAATATATTATGTAATGATAAATAAAATCACTAGGCCTATATATTGTCAAATAGAATCTCTATAATAAAAAGTTAAGAAATGATAATCGAAATCACTATATACTGTCAAATAGAATCTTTCTAATATTAAGTTAGGTAATGACAATTGAAATCACTATATAGTGTCAAATAGAATCTCTCTAATATTAAGTTAGGTAATGACAATTGAAATCACTATATAGTGTCAAATAGAATCACTCTAATAGGTAATGACAATTGAAATCACTATATATTGTCAAATAGAATTTCTCTAATATTAAGTTAGGTAATGACAATTGAAATCACTATATAGTGTCAAATAGAATCACTCTAATAGGTAATGACAATTGGAATCTTTACACATTGTCAAATAGAATCTCTAATATAAAGTTAGGAAATGATAATTGAAATCACTAAATATTGTCAAATAGAATCTCTCTAATATAAAGTTAGGAAATGATAATTGAAAATACTATAGATAGTCAAATAGAATCTCTCTAATATAAAGTTAGGTAATGACAACTGAAATCACTATTTATTGTCAAAAAGAATCTCTCTAATATAAAGTTAGGAAATGATAATTGAAAATACTATAGATAGTCAAATAGAATCTCTCTATAATATAAAGTTATGTTATGGCAATTGAAATCAATATGTATTGTTAAATAGAATCTCTCTAATATAAAGTTATGTAAATATAAATAAAATCACTATATGTTGACAAATAGGATCTCTCTAATATAAAGTTAGGTAATGACAACTGAAATCACTATGTATTGTCAAATAGAATCTCTCTAATATAAAGTTAGGTAATGACAATTGAAATCACTATATATTGTCAAATAGAATCTCTCTAATATTAAGTTAGGTAATGATAATTGAAATCACTATATATTGTCAAATAGAATCTCTCTAATATTAAGCTAGGTAATGACAATTGAAATCACTATATAGTGTCAAATAGAATCACTCTAATAGGTAATGACAATTGAAATCACTATATAGTGTCAAATAGAATCAACCCTCCCTTCCCCGAAATCTATTAGGTAATGACAATTGGAATCTTTACACTTTGTCAAATAGAATCTCTCTAATATAAAGTTAGGAAATGATAATTGAAAATACTATATAGTGTCAAATAGAATCTCTCTATAATATAAAGTTATGTTATGGCAACTGAAATCACTAAATATTGTCAAATAGAATCTATCTAATATAATGTTATGTTATGGCAATTGAAATCACTATGTATTATCAAATAGAATCTATCTAATATAATGTTATGTTATGGCAATTGAAATCACTATGTATTGTCAAATAGAATCTCTCTAATATATAATGATATCTGAAGTCAGCTAATGGTGATTGATTTTTAAATTATATGATCGATGTATCATGGATGATTAAATGTAATGACGGTGCTACTTGAACTAGCAAGGTAAAAACATTTTTTACGGCAAGCAGCGATGCTGACAATGACTGAAAGAGTATGATTTGTAAGGAATCAATATTATTGTCTTTGTGATGATTGATTTTGCTGGAAAGTTGGTAGTTCTCAAAATATGACTCTCAAGGCATAGGATTTACATTTTCTTCCGTGACTATCGTTAGGTCAATTTATTGCGGAAATTCATTAAAAGCACAGAAACGAGCGCCTGAAACTCTTCGTTCATGTTAAATCGGAATTTAATTAATGTTTAGTTCAATATATGTCGATAATAATATAGATTTTTACTTGGAACTAACGTTTACTTCGAGTTGTTATGTGAAAGGCGGTTTTGCAAAGTGTGAATATCGTTTTAATTATTATTTTCACAATCTTTACTGATGAAAAGTTCATCTTGTCGTTGTGTGTTTCGAGTTTTTGAGTACATGTCTAACTTCAAAGACCTTTTTCACAAGGAAAATGTGTAATTTTGCACGTGGATTCTTGAAATGGATTGTCAATGATGGATCGACTTAGAGTGTTGGGGAAACGTCTAGGTTTATTTCAAAATAAAGTTGCCGATAGTAATCAAAACGAATTAAAACCACAATTTATTAACAATAATTCGTCCACAAATGTACACGCAGAGGACAATGACGGTCGTGTACCATATCTTTTCAAAAATGGCAAATTCATTCACATGGGTAATAAAGAGAATGATTTGGAACTGGCATCGTGGCAGGGAAATAGGTATAACGTAAATAAGATTATGTTAAACTGTATTGTGTCTTCTATTGTTATGGTATTAATCATTATTTGGGATATTACTGTTGATGGTATATCCATGGACTCTTCCACTGACAACGCAAGATGCACAGAAAATATGATGTTTGGAGCTCATTTCTTACACCAATTACTTACCACCCGAGATCACCACTTTGCCTCTCATTATAATATCACCAATAGTAATTCCTCGCTGAATTCCACAGAGTTCCAGTTTTTAGAAATCAACAGTTGCATTACTGTTTTTAATGCTTCCAAAAATATTAAACGTTGTCAAATTCTAATGGATAAATTGGAACAAGTTGACCTGTTGTTGGAAGACCTGAAGATGTTTCAGTCAAATTATGTAGCCATCCTTGATCATTTAATGTTGTGTATATCTGACGGTTACAATCCACATTGGTCATGGATAACATCTTTTCATTTAATACAGGAATTAACAGTTCGACTTTCTAATAACATGATCTTACTCACCAATCACCAACTTGTGTTTAATTCTTCTCAGGATTGGACTAACCATTCAATCATATTGTCCCATGATGAAATTTTGACGTTTTTTGATCTATTTGAAGAATGCTATTCAATTTTTGAGAAAACCTTTTATGAAGATTCAAGCCTTTCTCGTTCCAAGTTTAAGTCTATATATGTAAATATGACAGATGAAAATCTGAAAATAAACCTCTCGGAATATTATTCCTCACATAAAGATTTGTTCAGGAAACTTGAAGATGTTCAGGAGATTTTGGAAAGTGCCATATCGGACCGAATTAATACTTATTTGGGTGATTTGACTAGACGTTTAGTTGTTCAGTCTGCGCTATGCTTAATACTAATTGGGGTAGCAATTAACGTTTCTCTGAGAGTGAAGCGAATGGGGGATTGGATTTTTCATTATTCATCTCATTTAGAAAGGAAAACCTCTGAGCTGAATAAAGAGAAAAAGTTAACAGATAACCTTCTATATCAAATGTTACCTAAATCTGTGGCCGACCAATTGAAAAGTAACAAAACAGTAGGAGCCGAATCATTTGACAATGTTACCATCTATTTTAGTGATATTGTAGGGTTTACAACGATATCAGCCGAGAGTACGCCTATGCAAATAGTGGAATTATTAAATATGTTATATTCTACGTTTGATGCTAGAATAGACACATATGATGTATATAAAATTGAAACAATCGGTGATGCTTACATGGTAGCTAGTGGTCTTCCAGAGCGTAATGGTGATAAGGTCAGCTTTCTCCACATTTTAATTTCTGAATTAAATATAATTACTCGTTACATCCTCCCTTCCCTTCTTTTATTGTATATGCAACTAGATTCATTTCCCCTTGCCTTCTTTATTGCATATACACCTCGTAACATCCCCTTGCGATCTTTATTGTATATACAACTCGTAATATCCCCTTGCGATCTTTATTGTAAATACAACTCGTTACATCCACCCTTCCCCTCTTTATTGTATGTGCAAACCATTAATTTCCCCTTCTTGTATTGTATATACAACTCTTTACATTCCTCTTTCCCTTCTTTATTGTATATGCAAATCATTAATTTCCCCTTCCCTTCTTTTATTGTATATACAGCTCTTTACATTCTCCCTTTCCTTCTTGAATTAATCTGATTACTCGTAGCATTTTCCCTTTCCCGAATTTATCTTATAAATCGTTAGATTTCCCTTCCCTCCTTTTCTGTGTATACAGCTTGATACATTCCCCCTTTCCTTCTTGAATTTATCTTATAACTCGCTACATTCCACCATTCCTTGTTGAATTTATCTTATAACTGTAGCATTCCTTGTTGGGTTTATCTTATAACTTGTTACATCCCCCCTTTCCTTATTGAATTTATCTTATAACTCGCTACATTCCACCATTCCTTGTTGAATTTATCTTATAACTGTAGCATTCCTTGTTGGGTTTATCTTATAACTTGTTACATCCCCCCTTTCCTTATTGAATTTATCTTATAACTCGCTACATTCCACCATTCCTTGTTGAATTTATCTTATAACTGTAGCATTCCTTGTTGGGTTTATCTTATAACTTGTTACATCCCCCCTTTCCTTATTGAATTTATCTTATAACTCGCTACATTCCACCATTCCTTGTTGAGTTTATCTTATAACTCGTTAGATTTCCCTTCCTTTCCTTTTTGTGTAAACAGTTCCACATATTCGCCATTTCCTTCTTGAATTTATCTTATAACTCGTTACATTTTACCTTTCCTTCTTGAATTTATCTTACAACTCGTTATATTTTACCTTTCCTTCTTGAATTTATCTTACAACTCGTTATATTTTACCTTTCCTTCTTGAATTTATCTTACAACTCGTTATATTTTACCTTTCCTTCTTGAATTTATCTTTCCTTCTTGAATTTATCTTATAACTCGTTATATTTTACCTTTCCTTCTTGAATTTATCTTATAACTCGTTATATTTTACCTTTCCTTCTTGAATTTATCTTATAACTCGTTACATTCACCCTTTCCTTAATGGGTTTATCGTATTACTTGTTACATTATCCCTTTCCTTATTGAGTTTATCTTATAACCCGTTACATTCCCCCTTTCCTTATTGAGTTTATCTTATAACCCGTTACATCCCCCTTTTAATTATTGAGTTTATCTTATAACACGTTACATTCCCCCTTTCCTTATTGAGTTTATCTTATAACTTGTTATATTCCCCCTTTCCTTATTGAGTTTATCTTATAACTCTTTACATTCCCCCTGTCCTCATTGAGTTTATCTTAATATAACTCGTTACATTCCCCCTTTCCTTATTGAGTTTATCTTATAACTCGTTACATTCCCCCTTTCCCTTATTGAGTTTATCTTATAACCCGTTACATCCCCCTTTTAATTATTGAGTTTATCTTATAACACGTTACATTCCCCCTTTCCTTATTGAGTTTATCTTATAACTTGTTATATTACCCCTTTCCTTATTGAGTTTATCTTATAACTCTTTACATTCCACCTTTCCTCATTGAGTTTATCTTAATATAACTCGTTACATCCCCCCTTTCCTTATTGAGTTTATCTTATAACTCGTTACATTCCCCCTTTCCTTATTGAGTTTATCTTATAACCCGTTACATTCCCCTTTTAATTATTGAGTTTAGCTTATAACACGTTACATTCCCCCTTTCCTTATTGAGTTTATCTTATAACTTGTTATATTCCCCCTTTCCTTATTGAGTTTATCTTATAACTCTTTACATTCCCCCTTTCCTCATTGAGTTCATCTTAATATAACTCGTTACATTCCCCCTTTCCTTATTGAGTTTATCTTATAACTCATTACATTCCCCCTTTCCTTATTGAGTTTATCTTATAACACGTTACATTCCCCCTTTCCTTATTGAGTTTATCTTATAACTCGTTACATTCCCCCTTTCCTTATTGAATTTATCTTATAACACGTTACATTCCCCCTTTCCTTATTGGGTTTATCTTATAACTCGTTACATACCCCCCTTTCCTTATTGAGTTTATCTTATAACACGTTACATTCCCCCTTTCCTTATTGAATTTATTTTAAAACTTGTTACATTCCCCCTTTCCATATTGAGTTTATCTCATAACACGTTACATCCCCCCTTTCCTTATTGAGTTAATCTTATAACTTGTTACATTCCCCCTGTTTGTCAGAAAGTGTAACAATAATTAAATTTGATTAATTTGATAACTTTCCAGCATGCAGAAGAGATAGCAACAATGTCTATAGATTTACTAACAGCAGTAAAACAAGTCAAAGTACCTATACCAATAGAACATAACTGTTTGCAAATGAGAATTGGTATTCATACAGGTATGATATTGATATTTATTATTATATTGCCGTCGCCCCTGTCCACCGGTCCGTCAACATTTCTTGTGAACACTAATATAGACGACAGTTTTTATCTGATTTTAATGAAACTTAATGTGATGATGTATATTGCTGAGATCTTGGTCAAGTTCAAATTTGACGATATTTCGATGAACGGTTTTTGAGTTATTGTACTTGACTTTGGAAAAACGCGTCAAAATTTGTTTGTGAAGACAATAGAGTTTACAGTTTTCAACTGATTTTAATGAAACTTGATGCGATGATGTATATTGATGAGATATTGGTCAAGTTTGAATATGACGATTTTTCGATGAACTGTTTTTGAGTTATTATCCTTAGATAAAATGCTTCAAAATTTGTTCACACAATAGAGACTACAGATTTCATGTCATTTTTATGATGAATGAAATAAAATGAATTGAGTTTTACGTCTTTTTATTTATATTAATGAGATCTTGGTCAAGTTTTAATTTTCAACGATTTCACTCTTAACAATGTTTTGCCCTTGATATTAGAGCTGTGAGATTTAATAACTTGATAAATTTGGGTTATTGATATTGATATTATCTTTTCTTGTTTTGAGGTTGGTGTGAAAGTTTATATTCTATTGTCACTTCACTTCACTTCATGATTATATTTCAATATAAAATGGGATAGGCTTCCACCAATGACGTAGGGCGTCTCTTTCGCGAGTAACCGGATATTCTCATGCCAGCTTTTTAGATCTTTCAGGTGGAAAGGACTTTCATAATGACGATTTCTTGAAAACCGAGTGACAAATTTTCATATCAATTTACACCTATCTATTAAAGTTTCATATGCAACCTCATTGAGAAAAAAAATAATTGTCTGTTGCTATACTTTAAGAAAGAATTGAAATGGAAGTTGAAAGAATTGAACTGAGACTTTGGTTCGCATGGACCCTTATCTTTGTAATTCCTGATTGAATTTCTGAAGTGATTTTTTTCTTGTTTTAAAAGTTTCGGTTTAGAATTTTCAATATAAAGACTTTATTAGTAGATTCATGTCCATCGATAACTATTTCTAGGTACAAGTCTTTATTGTAGTTGGAGGCAAAAAAGATAGTTCTACTTTAAGCTCAGCAAGTTCAGACACATTTCTATTAAATTTTGCAATATTATAGATTTATACATTTAATGATCAATATAATTATAAGGTTAATTCATTATCTTTAATGTAAGAAAACTGCCGTCATGCTTATTATGGCACTGTTTTGATCTTAATCAAACGAGCACAAAGAAAAGTGTTTCAAACTTTCATGGAATGCTCAATTCGAAATTGTCCTTTATTAATGTATTATATACACATATAAGGTTGAATCAGCTATTGATTGCGTCCACGAATATGTTTGAAAGATTAAACAAATGGACGTGGATTTACATAATATAAGTCCACAGAGATAAATGTGCAAAATTAACAGTATTCATATACTTAGATAGATATTTCTGGCTGTGGTCTGAGAGGACTCTAAGCCGTTATTCTAAGCGAAAATAGCATATTTCTTCCACCGATCCCTTGCCATGTCACAATTCTATTTCCTGTAACGCCTTTCCCATGTTTTTCTTTAGATAGTCCAACATGACATCTTAGGGCTTGTCAAAAACTTGGTAACTTAATGATGATACTTAACATATACTACCAAGAAAACTGATCACTGCACTGATAATAATCAATGACTAATCAAATATCATAAGGATTTGAGAATCGCAACATTCCAACAACAGAAACCCTAGGTTTACATGAAGAATGAAGATCTTCTGTTCTTCGGAACAGCTCATTATTACACGAAAGCTTGTCATTTGTAACAGGTAGAAATATATAACTTTCGGATTTGCCATTATTAGGGAATTTGACCACGACCTCTTGCCACCTTTCAAACTGAAACAATTTTACGGTACTGTATTAATCCGATCAGAACCAGGTGAATGTTACCACCACACTTCCGGTTGAATGCAGGTTTTTTTAAAAGGCACATGTCAGCGAATGTGACTTTCTCGTGCAAGGGTAGCTTCTATAATCTCTATTGGTTATACCACACCATGACATCACTACACTAGTTTCATTGTTCAAAGCTTGCTGCAGTTTTCATTCGGTTAGTTTATGGGGTCATTTAGTATTTATGTGAAGGTTATTTCTAATTGACATAATTATTTCCTCTTTAGTTCACGTATTTTTCAACATATTGTCTTTTTGTTGTTTATTATTAATAGAATCAAATTAGCACCTCCTTAAAACTATTGATTGTAAACTGCATTAGAATTATGTGTGGGAAAACATTGAATACTTCACAGTTTTGAAGCGTTGTTATATAGCAAATGATAACGGCATTACATTTAAAACTAAATGTTAAGCAGAAATTTCATATTTATTTTTTATATCTATTTGATGATATTTTATTATATGTAATATTTTCATATTTTATATACACCCACGCGAAAATGTTGACTTATTTCGTCGACAACTTCGTTGTAACAATATAAAAGCACAAGTTTTATCGAATTTTGATGATACTTTGTAAAGACTTGATTATAGATCTGCAACGAGTTTGAAATAGGCGATGCTTCGCTGTTTGTCAATCCGCCAATAAGTACAAATTGATTGTGACTGCAAAGTTATAATTGTTTCAAAAGCAGGTATAATTATATTTTCATTACTATTGTTTCTATTAAGTTGGTATGTTCCATAGATTGATGAGATAAAAAAAAAGTTACAAATTGACACATTTCGATGAATAATATCTTAACGTTTGCTGTTTTGCCTTTATGAACCGTATGACACTAGTAATAAGTGGACTTCGAGATCTGAATCTGCATTTCAAATCATTTAGTAGAGTGTGCATATACAAACATTTAATGTATGAAAAAATTTCTGTTAAGCTTTACCCAATGACGATGATCCTCTGATCTTCTGTTTCATTGTATTTCCAGGACCTTGTGTTGCAGGTGTTGTCGGTATAAAAATGCCAAGATATTGTTTATTTGGTGATACAGTCAATACAGCTTCTAGAATGGAATCAAACGGACTTCGTAAGTAGAACACACTTTGTTCGGAGATCTTCGAATAAACAAAGATTTCATTGAAATAAAGGGTTTCATTAGCGATGATGGAATAATACATGATGAAAATAGAAAACAATGTTTAGTTGATTCAAAAATCAATAATATTTCCGGTTTGCAAAAACAAAGCGAGGAAGACTCTCAAAATAAGTGATTATCTTGTGGCAATACCGAAGACGATTTCTAATGATTTTGAATGATAATTGGTTTATGATCACGTGGTCTTTTATACTGAAATGTACAGTGTATATGATTGATGTAAGCATCAAGGGCCGATTGTCTAATTACCATCTCTTACAATAACCTAAGCAATGAGTATTACCGCCGCGATAGTGCGTCTCGGCCATAGAAAATACGACCATGGAAATGTGTATGTATATTGCCGTTGCCCATGTCCGTCAAAATTTCTTGTGAGCACTATAGAGACTAAAGTTTCTTTTTGATTTTACTGAAATTTGGTGTAGTGAAATCTTGTTTGTTTGTGAGCGCAATAGAGATTACAGAGAATACAGATTTCATTCGATTTAAATCAAATTTTGTGTTTTGCTTTATTTTATTAGATCTTGGTCAAGTTCGAATTTGAAGAATTTTTGATGAACGGTTTTTGAGTTATTTCACTTGACTACATTAAAACGCGTCAAAATTTGTCTGTGAGATCAATAGACACTACAGTTTTCAACCGATTTTAATGAAATTTCGTGCGATCATCTAAATTGATGAGAACTTAGTGTAGTTCTAATACAATGATTTTTCGATGAAAAGCTTTTGGGTTAGTGCTATTGATTTAAAAAAAATGGAATAAATATTATAATAAATAACTACAATGTATTATGAAGATCTTTAAAATAATAAAATTCATATTTAAGGCAAATGGTGTACGTGTAGTTTCAAAATTAGCCAGAATGTTTTGTCTTTGACCCAGCGTCCAATTTCTTGGCGACTTATTGACCCGTGGCGTCAAAACCAATTATGTCGCAACATCTCATGACCAAAAATGCAACAACATTGTAAAAAATACGAATATTATCGTAAAACCTAATACCTGGGACTGACTGAAAACACGTTTAAACAAAGATTTTACAACCATATACAGTCGTTAACATTAAAAATATGAAAATAGCACCTAACTCTTAAAATGAAAAATATGAATTACAAAATATCCTGGTCCATTGATAGCAGAGCTAAAGCCCGCAAAAATAAAACCAAACGATGTAACCGGTGTTTAAATGACAAGCTTTCCTTCATTAATGCCCCTAAGCAAACTTCTTTTAAACAAATGTTCCGAACTTGTCTCAAATGTAGACATGAGAATAAGTTTTACTTGTCCAACTTCAGTAGGGATGCAGGATGTCTGAAGATCGCATAGCGTGAAACTCTGAGTAACAACATGATTTTTTAGGTTCTGTATTAATATTTCTGATATTCAGTAAATATGATATTTTTCAGCATTAAAGATACATTTGAGTAAAGACACGAGGGATATGTTAGTTTTAACTGGTAAATATAATATTATTTCTCGAGGTGAAATAAATATCAAGGTAGGTGATATGAATCAGTAATTTAATTTATGTAAGAAGAATGTAACAGAAAACTCTCCATGTCATCTGATAATCTGCATTCGAAATAGTGTCTACAAATTAGTGTGACACAGGTACACTTTGTGTTTACCAATGTTAATATTAGAGCTTAACTGCGCTTTCAATTTTGCGCTAATAAGCTCTGTTGTGTGCAAAATATTTACTCGGCTGTATTCCATAATGGGTGCTTACTAAGATAAAAATAAAATCGACGGCCATGGCTTCAAACGGTCTACCACGATTGGTCTGCTAGCGATCTGCAACATATCACGGTAATGAATTGTGGCCATTATTACTATTACTATAGTTTTTATATGTCCAGATCGTCACTTAATCACGTTCAGATCTTCAAACATTTGTAAACAAAGTCAATAAAAAGAAATAGGTTGTAAGAGATTTATTCAAACTGATAATAATATGTATCATTGGTTTACTGTTAGAATTAAATGCATGTAAATGTCAGAATTATCCCTTAGATACCCTAAATTAAGTCTCGCACAAGAAGAAACAGCAAAATTTACCATTCATTACCAAGACTGATACAGCTTATCGGAAACTGTCGAGTACTAATGAATGCCATTGCATAAATCGAAATCCACAGAATTTTCCCAAAGCTGGTGCGCTCAAGGAAGGTAAATTGTCTTGAACTTAATGATTAAATTGTTGACTGACATCAAAGAATAGAAAGTTCAGCTATATATTTTATTATACGTATTCAGGGAAAGGGAACAATGGAGACCTATTGGTTAGAGGGTAGACTGGATATGTCGGAAGCTAACGATAGTATGGTATGTAAATGGCAGCCTCGAAGAAGAAAGAAAAAGAGTAACAGCATGTCATCAGAAGCCAGTTCCATGGCCGACATCAGCAAATCTTCACTAACTTTAAACGCAGATTCAATAGATAATACCAGTGCAGAGGCGTCTAATGACAAAAGCTTACAAAATAACGTAATTGTGATAACTGAAGTAACTAAACTTGAACAGGAAGTGTCGATATTAGAACCGGAAGTACCACATTCTGAGACAAATATAACACAGGAACCAGACAATAATAAAACTTTACCACTTGTTGTTATACATGAAGTGAATGAAGTGAGTGAAAATAGCCTAAACGTTGAAAACCAATCAAATAGCAAAATTCAAAGAGGAATAACTAACAATCAACATAACGAGGCCAATTTATCCGAAGATAATGCACCAAAAGGTGACAATTCTTATCACGAAGATGTTTATATGGAGTTGATTGATGTATGATAGTAAACTGTATCATTGTCGCGCTTGTTGGTAAAACTTAAGAGCATGGCACAAAGACACCACCACAGAAGATTTTTATTTCATTTATAAAATAATAAAATATTTCGCCATTTGCTGTGTATGAAGTGACGCCGACGCCATTCCGAGACATTTTATTTTGAATATTTATTTTAATTCTGAAAAGCAATTATAAACATGATACTGCCCACTTGTCTTAAAGCAACTGGTCTTAAACTCACTAAAACAACTATAAACACATGGTTTACTTGATACAAATCATTTAATTATGTTCATTCCTCCGCAGATGTTTTAATTATCTTCACAAGTTTTTCAATAGGATCACAAAAAACCGTGGTTACTGGCACACTGATATAAAATCAACAGAAAACTCTGAAAATGTAGGAAAAGAACAACAGACGTTGACTGTCTACACCATAGCAAATTTCCAATGATTCCTGCATATTATGAATGTATTGGATCATGCATCAACAAAATCCATTTTATTTTCCTTATTTCATGGTGTTTCCTTAACCAGGGTTAATCACATAGTCTAACCACAAGAAAATACAAGACAGAACACAAAGTAGTTGCCATTAAGAAGATATAATTCCACCAATTATTGGTCCAGTGAAAGCGCTATAATAAAAACAATTGCAAATGCCTAGAACAATCTGATGACAATATCTTCCAGGTATTTTTTCAGTTTTTCAACGTTCGTCCTTTTACTTGTTCATGAAGTATTCATGGTACTTCGTACTTCAATTATTATTTGTTCATATTTTCAAAAGACTATAATAAAAATATATTCAAGCTCTGAATCGTAAATGAAGGGCAATAACTCTAATAAACTTAACCTAATGAAAACACAGAATAAAATAATCCACTGACATTACAAAATGTGTCCATAGAGTCATCGAAACACAACAGTCTTTAAGAAAGAAAACAAAACACATTCATTGTAATATTGGGAGAATGTTTTAAATTTCACACTGAAAAATAGTCGATAAACCCACTCGACGTATTGAGGTGCCCGGTGGGTGTAAAATTCAATTTACATCAAAAAAAGAATATTTTTCGAAGCTTTCATTTGGTCAAATCACAATTTGTTTCTTTATTTTTAGTGTACACCGTGCTAGTTTATAATAATGCCGTCTATGAATTGATATTTTTGATTTTTAATAAATATAATCGTTATTATTCAATGGACACTTTTTGTTGTTTTGTGATCGAAGGCGTCTTCCCATTATCTGCCTTGAATAGTAACCATGACATATCAAGGTGACGACACAGCGGGAGATTTAAATCTAAATAGCTACCAAAAGTTTGAACTCTTGGTTCTTGCTGTTCCTCACAACCAGGCAGCATCTTCCCTACCCTTTTCCCCTTCCCATTCATAAAATGCGTTGATCGATAAGGGGGCTGTGTGAAAGGATTGGAAACACACCTCTACAGCTACGTGGCATTTAGTAAAAACCTGTTACAGACTTTTTAGGGAATCACACTCACAGTTTAATTCAACTACTAATACTACTCCTCCATGCTATAACCACAGAGATATGTTTTAAAAAAAAGAGCTGCTAAGTCGAACTGGTAAAGGTTACGTCATGACAACAATATACTATAATAATAGTAAAAATACTAATGTGAAAAGGAAAGTGACTGAAGTCACAAAGTTTGATGCCAATGTGAATGATGGAGGGAAAACAAAAAAAGGTGAGTCTCAATGCATGGTTTATTTATTTCATACCTTGACTGCAATCTAAGCACTTACAGATACAAACTTCTACGATACAAGAAAGGTGTCAATTGCAGTCAAGGGTGGGGAAGATGTTGTCTGGTTGTGAGGAACAGCAAGAACCAAGAGTTCAAACTTTGGGTTTCGCCATCTCATAATGTTTTATACGCCCACATGGAAATGTGGGCGTGTATTGCGTCGCCCCTGTCCGTCCGTCAGTCCACATTTGTTGAATGCTCGATAAAGGCTACAGCTTTTATCTGATCTTGATGAAACTTGGTATGCTTCTGACAACTGATAGTGGGCGTATGTTACCTTGCCTGGCAAGCTATCTTTAAGGTTCACATCGCCAGGGTAATGAATGGGTTTTGCTTTGGTCTGATCAGACAAATGCAAATAATGGTGTTTTTACGTCTTACTTTCCTGCATCCGGTTTTGGGCTAATGACAACGCCATGCAGTGTGCAATAAAAGTAAATGCTGCAAACAACAGCAGCCTTAGCCTATTGTTTTTCTATATTGATCTGTCGCGGGATCACAGCCTGTAGCACACATGTTTAAAATTGATAAGACATCTTTTGTATGCCAGAGGATTAAACCAGACAAACCAATTACAGCACCAAACTTTTCTATAACACGATTTTGGCATGAAAATAGGAATTATAACTCTTCTCTTTCCTCCATGCTTACTCTTCTGATCACTTGGTACCACCCTTCATTATGAAATACTTCTTCATGGATAACTCTAAAATAGGCTAGTGGTTTTGTGAGCAGTCCAAGTCAACTGTGTGTTGATATCCGGTAGTGGTCTACATTCAGTTTGACTTGTTCAAGATTTTCATGGTCATGATATATTGAATTTTTGTCCAGAAACTAGGTATAGTCCAGGCTTTCATGTGACATGTTGAAAGGTTTTTAACGAGATTTCTGGAAAAAGTTATAGAAGGTTGAATTTGGTGTTTTAACATGGAAACAGATAAAGTCTTTGAATGGCATTTAGCAATTGTGAGTACGATATATAGACACAGCTTTATGGAACAACAATCACTGGTTAAAGTTTAATGCAACGTTTCGACGTGTTTCCCCCGTCATCCTCAGACACATAATGAGAAGAAGTGATGGGCAAACTATATATACATTAATGCTTATTATTAAGAACACACAAGAGATAAATGGTTTATTGATAACTGGCGAACAGAGGGATAACCCCTTAGGAATAAGTTTATTGCATCTCAATAAAAATGTTAAATTATTACATGTTTGGATTAGTTTACCCTCACTCTTTTCAAGCTTGTCTATGAGTTGATTTGCCACATCTCCATATTGATGACGAATAAAGTCTTTGAATGGCATTTAGCAATTGTGAGTACGATATATAGA